CCGTGTCTTTGAGTTGCCTTTCTTCCAAACTCATTGATTTGTGCCGCACACGTGAGTTGTATATCAAGGATTACCCCCAACACGCCGTGTTGATTGACTCACTGCAATGTCTCTCGACTACCCTCGAATTCTGTGTCTCTCGCAGGCCTAAACATGAGGTTGACGGTAGTCATGCTACATTGTCAGCAATCCGCCAATCCCGTAGCCAGTAAAAGGTGCTCATAATCCTTTAAATGACTATTGCACCTGTACGTAGGAAACCGATTTCTGCATAGATCGACCGACTTGCTTGCCCATCAATCCTCAGCTTAGACGCTGGATTCTTGCTGGCGTATCGTTAGAAGTGCTTGTTTAGAATCTTTATTTCTTTTTTTGAGACACGTACAAATGTAGTTCGCATATCTTTTTAAATGTAGTGTACAAAAATAAAACGTAGTGTTGAACAGAACTATTCGATGCATTTGTAGTGTTCCTCATCGAGGAAAACTCCGTAATAAGTTTCGTAGGAGGCATCGTGGTCTTGCAGTGCCGCGTAAAGCGACGATTTACAGTATCGTAACAAAATTATGTTCGACGGGATCTGTGCTGTACAAAAAATAAATTTCGGAAAATACATGTATTGACTGAAGAACTTCATGTCACTGGGGCTCGATTAGAAGGAATCCGGAACAAGCCGTTACGTCTTTTGGTTCTTCAACAGAATGCACAGCTCACATTCCAAACTTAAGCTCTTACAAACTACGGTCGTTCACAGCCATTTGCCTCCAAATTATGAAGCATGAACTGTTGGTTTCAGGAATCGGTATTCAAATCACTTTCGATCCAGAGCTTACGTTTTATCCTGACTTCAGCATTTTAAGTAGTTACGTTCGAATACTTGTGACATTCATTTGTGGGACATGCCGAAAGAAGACGTGTTTTTGAATAATCCACACTATTTGGAAGAATTTGAAGTAAATAATAAGCATTACAGCAACTTCGAAGTGTGTCTAGAAACATATTCTTACCGAACGAAAATGCGAATGATAAATTTCTACGGATCCTTTACCAGCAAGCCTTCAAGCTTGAAACAAACATTTTTTTATATAACCTCTGTTCAAACACATTTACGATCCCGAGAAATCCATCTGATGCCTTCGGTAAATAAATGACCATAAAGTATTCAGGCAACTTACCTGCAGCTGACACAAAATTCTCAAAATAGAGCGTAGCAATGTTGGAAAACCTGAAATTTCGAATTATTGAATTACAATTCGAGACATCTGGTCCCCTTAGTATTAAATACTAAAATTGCATAAGACTTTACAAAAGAGCAAAGACTGCTATTCCAATGTATCTTCTTCGAAGTTCATAATTTCCCTTGTTCAATACAATATAAGCATTTCGTACAACGTCGTTAAAAATTAACGACATAGACGCATCGAAACCCAACGGAAGAAGAGCTTCCCTTTGTTTGAGGCAAACAAATACATAAACATTTAACATTTTAGTTATGTTGTACACAGAGCCTAGAAAAGAGGTCAATAATTTCAATTTGGATAGTAGTCAGAATAGGCCTGGAGTGGGCACAAACGTTGCGAGATATAAACGAATAACTTTTCACAATAAAAGGATGTGGTGCAGTGGCCATTAATTCCTCAACAGGAAGCTGGTGCGTGATTGCATGGCTGATTACAAGGCACTCCTCAGCTAGACTTGCTGAAATTGTGACGAAACAGAACTGCTATAAGAGCCGGGACAGATCAGTTCGCATGGCAGCTTAAGGGATGGACGACCGAAAATAGATTCCTAGCAGGGCAGGAATTTTCTATTCCCTGCAGAATTCCGACCGACTCTGAGGCACATTTAGCCTCGTATGGAATGAGCACCGCTGTTCTTTCCCCAGGATTAAAGCGACCGGAGCGTGTAGCTAACCATTCGTCATAGTGCCGAGAAGAAATGCAGCCTGGACCGGCCTTAGGGGTGGCGAACAGGTCTCGTTAGCGCAGGGCGATTGCGAAAAAGTCTTTAATTGCGTACATGTCTAGGGGTCTGTGTGACTAGAGAGGAGGGGAGTTATTGCCAGTCAACTTTCCTTAGGGTAGATTTGCTTCAAAACGCCGCCGAGATGCACGTTCCCTTACCTTATCAATATCATCAGTCCCATTTTATATTCGATTATAATTTGTCTTAGTTTATTACGAAAACAAATTTTCATGATCTTCCTTGATCGCAAACAAATGTCGGTGTGAAGATGGCAGTCTTGTGGGTTGTAGCGCCATGTTGAACTTTACCGATGTTTCAGAGGTCCTTGCTTACTCCATCATCAGGGCGATGATGGCGCTAAACCCAGAAGACATCCATCTTCGTATTCACCACCATGAAAATCTCAAATCCTAAATTTCGGTGTTTTTCGCTATCAGGATTACTAAACCCGTAATTGTTTTATCATCCTCTGTCATATTCAACCGTTTCTTCGTCGTATGACAGCCAGAGCCCATGTTACCACGGCAAGGTGCATCTTCAGGATTCGAATCGAGGAGACCTACAGGTATGGAGAATGGCTGTGAATTTTCTGAATAACCAATCGCAGAGACACAAGAGGCTTAGGGGAATAACAGAAAGGACTTAAAATGCCAAAGGAAGCTACAAATGGCAACGTAAATCTTACTTGTTTCGTCCGTCGCTCTATATAGTTCTTGAAGAACACCAGTCGCCTCGCATGTGAAGTTTCTTAATCTCTGTAGGCATTTACTAGGGCGCAAATTATCATCATTCTTCTGGTTTCAACGAGTATTACTTCACACACAAACTATTAATGTTGCATAGCCGGTCTGGAGGGGTGGAAACGCCATAAATAGTGTTCGCCCAGAGAGCCATTGTTCCTAGGTTCGGCCCTGCGTTAAGTCTGCACTGTATTGTGCTTAATTAAACAAGAGGGACGCCCGTATCTTTACAGAATACCTTTGGGGTATAACACGGCATAGCTGCTATGTGACTTTGCCTTAAAATAAATGCAGTTGCCATCTTGTACACAGCAAAGACAGATATTTTAGAACTCCTCGTGCCTCTTATGAATGCAGCGTTAGAGAACTACAAGTAAAATACAGAATGTTTACAACTGAAAGAAAATATAATGGGACTGGACCTTAACTGAAGAGGTAACAACGCTACTTACATTAGAATCAGTGCAAATTCAAGTCCTCCCATGATGCAGATCTTTTTATAAACGAGTTACAAATCAAGAGAGACATACAGTAACACACGTCTTTCGATATAGCACGCTCTGCAGAATGAGATACATTCTTTGCCTGTATCAACGAAAGAGACGGTGTCATGAGTATCTTTATCAGCTCCCACTTCCTTTATACGTGACAGGAAGTTCCTTATCCAATCCCTCGCTAACACAACTGCAAATAGTCTGAAATTTTCCCTCATAAAAGAGTATTATCAGCAAGATGGAAGGCTGGGCCTGTAAGAATTTTCCCGTACAGTCTTGCATTGGAGACCTTATCTGTGCTTGGTAAACGCTGAAGAACGGAAGAGTTCAGGAACAAACACATTCACAAATTAAGAGTCTTTCAAAATCAGTGTCTCAAAAACCAATTTTAAACGAATATGCATTTGAACATTTGATTTAAAAACAATCGTTTGATGTAATATATTTTATACTGAAAGACATTTCAGCATTGCTGAATTTTTGACGAATTCAAATCAAATGTCAGTCATGGTTTGCTTCTATAGTTCTTCTGTTGTGTTTCGTTAGGGATTCGATTAAAATTCAAGTATACGTAAAAACACGTTACCGTCTGGTCGACTGATATTCTATCAACGATCACAGACATATTAAGTGGACAGACAGCGAAGCTAAAGTGAAATAACAAGCAATCCCGAATTTGTGAATTAATAGTGTTTGGTAAGAGTATGAAGTGTATCTGGATGGACTGTTCTAACAAGTTTTAAAATTAATTCCACTACCCAAAACCTCAGTTTCCAAACTTTTCTGTCAAACTAACAAGTACTCTTCAATTAGAAACAGCAATTAGGTAACAGTATTTCAGTGGCCTATTAATTATTCGTCCTCAAATTTGTCTAGTTAGCCAACAACAGCTGTTTCAATTGCACGTCGTCGTTTCGTGTCAGAAGTCACTAACTGTATTTTGAAAGTTCCGAGAAAAACGAGTTTAAATTTCTTCTAGCAGTTTCATTTAAACAGCATTTAAGGAAGCGTAAAACTGTGTTTCTACGGTAAAACGTCAAGACATTATAACGTGAGTTCTCATACATTTGCTTCTGCTACTTAAATAGAGTTTGATAAAAATGTCAGCTGTCGGTAATCACATTTTTCGTAGCACGGTTAGTATGTTACAAAAAATCTAACCAAATGATCAAGAATGCTGACTAGGAGGGGTTTGGCAAAGAGGCGGTAGTGATCTATTCCAGTACTTACCTGGGAAACTACGAAAAATATAAAGAACAGAAGTCGATAATGCGGACTAGAATCGATATAGGTTTTTCCCGAATACAAGTCTAAACAACGTTACTGCTACAGTTAGGCCTCATAACAAATTAGGGGTTGACAGGAAATTGAGTTTTAATAGGGCAATGAGATTATAAACGTTTTCAACAGTTTCAGACACATACACGATCAATATTCTATGATCGTGTAAACCAGGGACGAGTAAGCTGTTAGTAACTGCTTCTGTTAAAAAAAATACATTAACAACACGTAGCAACGTTCCTGCTAGTAAGTTACAGGTTGTGTGCTTTGCTTAGAACAAACAAATGCTTACCAGATATAGCAAGGTAAATAAGTGATACGTACAGTGCAGGTGTACAGTATTTGTTTAAATATGGCTGTCTTCTGAATTGTAGTGCCTGCATCGTCCCTGATGATGGAGGCAGTAAGGACCTCTGAAACGTTGGTAAACTTCTACCAGATTATACGGCCTCGGACTCACCGCGGTGAAAACCTCAAATCCTACTTTATTTGTTTTGACTTCATAACGAACGCTGACTCACAAACACTACGGATTGTGTACTTCTGTGTTGTTCCGCTGTATTGTCGTGTGGGTGGGTAAGTATACCAATGTTTCTGAGGAACATGCAATCTCTGTTAAGTCCCATACTGTAATTCTGCGTCATACGCAGAAGCAACCGTGATTTAGTCTGCTGTTTCCTCTACCTGTAGACGAGCATGTAAGAGAAAATAATACAGGCTACCATCATTTCGAAAGTAGCCTGTACCAGTCTGCCATTCAAGAATTGAAAACTACATGCAGTGCCGAGCAAATGCGTGCGTTTCCTAAATGAGGGTTGCTGTGTTCTACGATGGACGGGAAACGGCATACAGAGTTCCTTTCTGACGCAGCCGCTGTTGTGTTACGGAAGCTTCTAGCTTGGTCCAAATTAGGGCAGCAGTTCAACACCCCACCCCTTCTATTACGTCACACAGCTACTGCGGTGAGGGAATGGAGCGATTTCTGGAAACAGAGGTTGCTGGTAGCATTTTCAAGAAAATTGCATCAACCATTAATACAACTATAAACACGAGCTCCAGCAATGATTCCCATCTTCCAAGTAGCAGAGGCCATCTGCCAAAACAATCCCAACTCTTCCGAGTACAACTCGCAGACATCCAGCCAACCGCTTTTTATTAAAAGGTTACACTTTAATATGATTTATGTTGCCGCCGCTATGCCCAAAGGACGGCTCTGTGATGGCGTACTAGACTTTAAAAACTCAGAAACCGATCTCGCGTAAGTTAAAGTTTGTCATTGTCACCCCAGAACAAAGATAAGAATACACCCTTTTACAAATGTACAGCTTTGCCCTAGTAATGTCAACTCGTAGGTTACTGGCTTCTAGAGTCGTCTTGCTTCCTCTTTCACAAGCGCTGGGCTTCGTGCATTTCACTCAGCAGAACACATAGCATGACATTTTCTGTTACGTACCTATTTGGTGAGAAGTATTCTGGCCTTGAAACCTACCTGCACTCCTCAATATGTCACAGCTTGTATTTTTGATGGTACACTTCCAAACACTGAACAACACACAGCCCCACGACACATAACCTTACATTTTACTTCCATATATTCAAGGAACAGGTGAGCCAATTCACTCTGGAGGAATGAATTGGCCCATGGTTGCCGAAATTTACCTGGAGCCAAATTACTTTTTCCTTTGCGGCAGCGAGTCTGCGAATTGGACGACGAGGAAAACGCTCAACATTTTCAATCACGTTTTGCACGAGGACAAGTCGGAAATTGCCAGAAACAGAAACATTACAGATTCAGAAAAATCAGGTAGTGAAGAAAGTCATCTTCAAAAGCGTCCAGTTATAGGCGGTAATATCTGCAAGTTTACTTCACCAGTAAGTGATAAAAAATACAATATGAAAATGCGTGGAGTCGAATCATTGTTGAAATGGGGTGCCACAGTGCCTTTGTGTGTCGCCAGTGAATTGATGGATGTCTGTCATCCCTGCTCAGACACCTTTTTGGGTGCAAGTGAGAGGAGTGTCAGCCTACCCCATTTGGGCACCCCTTGGGGTGTTTGTCTGCATAGAGTTAGGAATTGTTCTGTTTTATCAGAATCTTTGTCATTCGTCCTTTTTCACATCCCTGCTAGTGGATACCATGTATGCTGTGCAGTTGTATTGAGTACAAGTACAAGATTGGAAGTAGACAGTTCCTTTCTCATTACAACACAATATATCTTATTTTTAGACTGTATTAGCTAAATAATTAGTAATTTTTTCTTCTCAATCCTAAAACAGTGCACAGAGGTTGAGGCATTCCAAATTTTCAAATTAACTATTGCAATGGGCATAAAATAAAATTTATTTCCCAATACAGGAACAGAGCAGACTGAGCCACAAGCAACTTCACTAATTTTTAGACCCAACTTATTCATGCGATTTGTGTGTGCTAAAGGGCTTCATTCCAGAAATGGGACTGCATGCATCTGACATTTATTTGTATCCACTTGTTGTTGTTGATAAAATGTTTTATCAGAACCACCCACAAAGAAATGTGAAACAGACAATTCATTTCGCTATGAGGCTTAAACATGAATCTCCAAGACTTTATTCCACTCTAAATCTGCAGTGTGGGGTTAAATTTAGATTCTGCATGGTCATGATTAAAGATTTCGGAGTTCTGTTGGCCTCTAAGCTCTATTCTCATCACCAAAATAAATACATATTTTCTCTAGGTGTATGATTCAGTATATTATCTCTTCTGTTTCAACTGCTGACAGTCTCTACGTTTTGTATAACACCCTTGTACGAACAATATTAGAATATGCACGTGCCGCGTGGAAATCCATTACATTCACAAATTTGCCCAAATTCAAAAGAGTTTAAGAAATTTGCTGCCTTATGCACTTGCACATTTTTCATGAGCATATTTTGAAAAAGCGATAAAGGTGTACTAGCTAGACTGAATCTGTCAACACTTTATTTCATGCACTGTCATCTAGATTCCCTGTTTCTATGTAAAAACAAAATTAGTTTTTCTTCCATATTTGATTGTCGATGTCCATACTCCTACTAGGATAATCTGACTACTCGCTATTTATGGTATATCATAATTTCAAGATCAGTCCCTCAGTTACATGTTTTTCTGCTATGAATGCTATTTTTAACAAAAACTATATTTTGCTTAAAGAGAGTGATAACATTATTTATAATTGGACTTCATTTTAACATTTCTTTGTCCATATTCTGCAGGTTTCATATTGTATATCTGGACTCAGTTCCTTCTGTTAATTTTATTTTTTGATCTCTTACATAATTTGTAGATTTTATCATATTATTTTACCTTGTTTTGTTGTTCTTAATGCTGGCTTTTATCCGGCTGGTCTAGCTGTTGTCAGGTACATAAATAAATGAACTAAATCGTCATCATAAAACAGTGAACTCGATCATTTAACTTATATATTGTTAGTGTTGCAAAAATGCTGTACTCCTGGCACTCCTTCAACTTTCTTAGCCATGGAAATCAATTCACCTAAGTCTGGTCATGCACACAAAGTTTTCAGAAATTAACATGCAGATAGAAATTTGAAACAGTAATATACAGTAGTGTTGAAATTATCAATTTCAATTTTCGCCACAGAAGAACCAGACCACAGTTTGCAAATCATCATCTCCTTTTATTTATTTACTTCACAAACCTAAACCATCATTGTCCTGAGGTTATTTCTATTAAAATGTGGCTCTATATTCCTTCCTCTCAGTCAGCAGCAAACCTACAAAACCACCATTATTAATCTTTTATATAACATCTGTATGGGTTTTATTT